GTAGATCAGCTGAACAAGCCTTGAATATTTTAAATTTAAATAAACCCACCGGGCGCGTACGGCAATTCAAGCCATTCAGAAGCCATGCCGAGAAACAGTCCCGTAAACAGTCAACTTTCGAGAATAGCCTACCCGAGTATACTCGATAGTCTCTGCCCCCCTCCCTCCATTCCCTGCATTTCGGATTCGTTGTCTATTTACACGATGGCTCAAGTTGTCCCCTCTTCTGTGGGTAGTACAGAGAGCTACACTACTAGCTAACGGGCCCCCCAAAGGATGGGGGACCGAAACAACAGACATTGTCCACGCGGTTGTCAGATATTGAAGGAGGGTGAGAAAGTGGGGCTTGGACTTCGCTTTGGCTTAGGCTTAGGCGTTGCGTAGGCTTAGGCCTCGCTTAGGCTTAGGCTTCGGCTTGAGCTCAGTTTTTTGGACCTAGGCTTTGGTTTAAGCTTTGACATGGGCTTATGCTAGGGCTAGGCTTAGGCTGAGATTGCGCTTTTTCCGTATAGCTAGGCTTCTTTTATGTGGAGACTTAGACTTACTCCTAGCCTGAAGCTTGGTCAGGGGCTGGGCGCAGGCTTAGGTTAAGCTTATAGCTGTTTCTAGCCGGCAGCTCTAGGACCCTCATAGGCTTCGGATTGGGCGTCGACTTAGGCCTTGGATTCGCTTACCAGAATCTCGAAAATAAGTATAAGGTGGAAAAATCTTGCTTGAGCGTGAGTTTATGTAGCAAAATGAAGCTCATTCCCCCCCGGTTTCTGGCCTGCCATAGCCCTTTAAACCTACAGAACGCGCCGAATGACACTGAAAATCCTTTACCAAACCCACCTTCTTCGTCGTCCATCGATTCCCAATCAAAAATCAAAAACAGAATCCCGGGCCAAGGTCCAAAATCGAGGCACCGACGACGGTAGTTTGGCCGGGGCGAGTCGCGAGTTTTTCGAGTGGGCTAGAGAGTGCGGGCTGGAGGTGGAGGGGCTGGAGATATGAAGAGCAACGACCGTTTCGAGGGCCCTCTTTCGTTTGGTGGCCACACCGTCTGCCGAGATGGGGCCCGGTGGTGGAAAAACGGTATTTCCTGCCGGGGGCTGGTGGAGGGGCTTCTTCCCAGATCTTTAGAGATGTGGGGCGCAAAGTTGCGGAATTTGACGAGGGGCTTGTGGAATTTGAGCTCAGAATTGTTGAAAGCTGAGTTACTTTGGGCAAGTTGCCAATAGTATCTATTAGTGCATATAGCAAAAATATTGGCGTCAATAGTATCGGCACGTAATAGCTAGACCCGTAAGGTCGAGAAATCTAGAACTGTTTAGCGGAAAATTGCGGAATTAGGGAGATAATCTTTGAACTCAGATTTTTATGTCAAGTTCACCTGAATTATAGCCGTTTTAATAGCCAAAAATGCTGTCAATAGTATCGGCACGTAGTGGTTTGCGCCCGGAAGGTCAACCGAGTTATGCGATTAGGTGTGGCGCAATGGTAAGCCTTGCAAGGGTGGAGCGCGAGAGACTGAGAGGGCCCAGAGATACAGAGATAGATGTGGCGACCAGATAGCCGATCCCTTTAGCCCATCCCTCTTTACCCATCCCTTTATACCCCGAGGGCATTCTGGACCCCCCCACCCTTATCGTGCCATCCAATCGGGTAGCCCATCCCCGGGCCATGCTTCGCTTGAAAAATGAGCCGCCCCAGGCTATAGGACGAGCACCAATTAGCCGGGTTACTTGATACCACTTGAGAGGTGGATGGGAGAAGATACTCAAGGGGTAGAGGCTTTTAAAGGGACTGGAAAGGCGAGGTGGTAAAATCTGAGAAGCAGCATCAGCCAGAATTCGAAAAGCCAAAATCCCGACAGCCAAAATACGCAAGGCTAAGATCCGGAAAAACGGGAAATTAGCAATGACCCTTTAACTAAGAGTCGGTCTTGAACAAGCGTATATTAATGCACAGACGCTAATTGCACTTTTAATGAAAAAAACTATAGCCACGATAATTGAAATGGAATTCAGGGGCTCCCAAAAAATTGGCTACTCAGCTCCGCGCTGGGTTCTTTGAATATTCTAGCGACGAGCCCCGGGCACAGTGGCCCTGAGGCCCTCACAAACAAGTAAATTGGCCGTATTTCAAGGCTTTGGGAAATTGGCACCATTTAGAGGCGAGGGCTGGGTTACGGTAGCCGCGTTTGCAAAATTATTTTGTCATCGACAAGTTATATGGGCTTAGGCCTACGCTTAGGCTTAAGCTCCGGCTTGGACTGAAGCTTACAAAACATTCATTTCGCTTACAACTCCCAAATACATTTTTAAAAAAAATTGGTGACACAAAATTTGAACAACACCCAAGACCTTGAGAGGAGAAATGGCGATGCATAGATTCGGGTGACGGTGCTCAATCAAGGCCCACAAAAACACCGAGAGGGAATGGGGGCCAATTTGGGGCCCAAGGGCAATGGCGTGGCCCTGGAGGGGTCTGTGGATACGCCCAGAAACAAATTGCGGTCGGACCAGGGCGAGAGAGAGAGAAAGCGTAAGAAAAGAGAGATAGAAAGATGTCGACAGCCTTCTGCTTTCATAAATAAATTAAGTGAGGGGGCGGAACGGAGGGTGAGAGAATGGGAATTGGATCTGATGGGGCTGAAAAAAACGCGCTATTTGAATATGGGGCAGGCTTCAGGATGAAGCCCAGGTTAAGGCCAGCTAGCATAGAACTTTATGGAAATAGACGCACGAAACAAATCAAGCGATAGTTGAGGCTTAGGCTTGCGTTTGGCTTGGCTTACAAGGAGATGGTCTCAGCTGGGAATCGAATTCGGATTCGAAAATTTGCAAACTTATAGAGCTCGACGAGACAAATCGATTGGTGTAACTTTCAGCTGCTGATACAATAACCACGCCGAGTTATAAGCATTTTAAGTTTTTGCATACATTTTCCATTTTTTTGGCCATAGCCTCATAGGCCTTCCCCGCCTCCCCATCACCATGGTCTGGTGGTCTAGTGGTGTAGTAGGCGGCGTCCGGGGAATCTAACGAGGGTTCGAACCCGCTCACAATTTTTATTTTTTGCTTTTTTGTCCGGACCTTTAAAAAGGTTCCTCTTTGCTTTCTGAAGACCTTGAATAGCTTTTTACGCATTATTTTAACTCCTCTGATGCGCCGACAACATCGAACTCCACCGCAAAAAATTTTTCTTGCTGGGCATCGAGCCCTTGTCCGACCTATGACTACCATTTCGAAAAAAATTTCGCGGATGAAAGTTTTTGTTCGGATAACACACCATTTACCAAATTTACGTTTACTCCACGATTTTTTATATGCTTTGAATTTTCAATTTATTTTGGGATCATAGTCTGTTCGAGCAAAAAATCTAAATTTTTTCAAAGAGGTGTTTTCTAGCCATTTCGCACCAGAGGAGTTAAAATAATGTGTAAAAAGCTATTCAAGGTCTTCAGAAAGCAAAGAGGAACCTTTTTGCAAGGTCCGGACAAAAAAGCAAAAAATAAAAATAGTGAGCGGGTTCGAACCGTCGTTAGTATCCCCGGACGCCGCCTACTATACCACTAGACCACCAGACCATGGTGATGGGGAGGCGGGGAAGGCCTATGAGGCTATGGCCATGCAAAAAGGTTCCTCTTTGCTTTCTGAAGACCTTGAATAGCTTTTTACACATTATTTTAACTCCTCTGGTGCGAAATGGCTAGAAAACACCTCTTTGAAAAAATTTAGATTTTTTGCTCGAACAGACTATGATCCCAAAATAAATTGAAAATTCAAAGCATATAAAAAATCGTGGAGTAAACGTAAATTTGGTAAATGGTGTGTTATCCGAACAAAAACTTTCATCCGCGAAATTTTTTTCGAAATGGTAGTCATAGGTCGGACAAGGGCTCGATGCCCAGCAAGAAAAATTTTTTGCGGTGGAGTTCGATGTTGTCGGCGCATCAGAGGAGTTAAAATAATGCGTAAAAAGCTATTCAAGGTCTTCAGAAAGCAAAGAGGAACCTTTTTAAAGGTCCGGACAAAAAAGCAAAAAATAAAAATTGTGAGCGGGTTCGAACCCTCGTTAGATTCCCCGGACGCCGCCTACTACACCACTAGACCACCAGACCATGGTGATGGGGAGGCGGGGAAGGCCTATGAGGCTATGGCCAAAAAAATGGAAAATGTATGCAAAAACTTAAAATGCTTATAACTCGGCGTGGTTATTGTATCAGCAGCTGAAAGTTACACCAATCGATTTGTCTCGTCGAGCTCTATAAGTTTGCAAATTTTCGAATCCGAATTCGATTCCCAGCTGAGACCATCTCCTTGTTAGTCTTAACCCGCTCGTACAAAAGCGCCACCGTTTCCCCCTCGACGACCGGTGTATCTGTGTCTATGGGTGTGTTTAGTACACGCGCGTAGTTGGCTGGACATAAAAGGACCAGGAGGCGGGGGGAGGCGGATCGGACGGTGAAATGTGGGAAACGGCTCATCAAATGACATCCCCGCAGCCTCGCGGCTTCTCAAATAGCCCCACGCGACCGAGGAAAACCCGTACTGTGCAGAGGTGTCAAATGGAATTGGGGTGGAAATTGAGGTGGGCGTCAAATCACGTGGAAATGTTCAGGTCACTTTAAAACTAATTCTGGATGGTTTTCTAAATCTTTCTCTCGCTCGATTTCTCTCTATATCTCGCTCTCTCTCTCTCTCTCCCTCTCTCGCTGGATCCGAAATTACGCCAAAACCAAGAAAATTTTGGAGTTTTGATGATGCAAGGCAAACCAGCAGAGTTTCTTCGAAGAGCCGAACGAGCAGAAAATACCAAAAAACGTGAAGAGAAAAAATTCCAGCCAGACGCCCCGATTCCAAAGTTTAGAACGACCCATTTTTCTTGCAGCCCTTGCCCTTCAAAAAGGCGTCCCACTATACTAGGGGGATTAGTGGCGGTTGGGGCACCGCGGGGGCAAAAGTCGTAACATTGCTCGGCAAGCAAGGCAAGCTCGAATCCTATACCGTGCTCTACCTACCATAGATCGGGCCCTCGCTGTGCTTCCGGCCCAGGTAGGCGACGTACTCGCTGCTGCTGTAGCAGTCCTTTGGCTGGAAATGGAATTTTTGAACTGTGAAAAGAATTCTGCCATAGAAATTGTTGCTAATCGACCAATTTTGGCTTCCCAATCCCTTCAAAAGCTCAAAAAAGCTTTATGTGGGCGCTATCTGAATTTAGAGTGATCTGACCTTTATCGGTAGTAAAGATCGAAATTCAAGGAATTTTCCAGATATAAACAAAAAATCTGTGGAATCTACAGTTTTTTTGACTTGTCAATTCCTTGAAACGCCAAAAATCGCATTTTCGCAATCCCGAGCTCACCCTAGCCTCCATAATGATGCGATGCATGGCGTCTGACGAATACGACGTTTCCGTGTTTTTCAACGGCGAAAACAGGAGCGGCTGTGAATTCTTGTGTCCAATGCGAGATAGATTCGGGCTGCTCTCCCCCATCTTCTTCAGCTTCACGTCGAGAAAACGGGCGCTGCTGGCTGAGAGGGCGTCTCCGCTACGGGACTTTCCTGCAAATCGCCGCTTTTTAAGGGAATGGATCGCTTTACAGGCTCGTGCTGCCAAAAATAGAACTAGCAGGGATTTTTGTGGAATTTTTTAAGAATTTACGATCGCTAGTGATAGATTTTTAGGCCGGAATTCGAATTCTTGTTATCAGGTCGTCTCCACCGCTTTTTTTTTGCCCAAAAGAGAGATATCAGAGATACTTGGAGAGTTTTTGAAGAAAATATCTCTATCGATAATATTTCTATCGCTAGATTTTTAGGCGCAAGTTAACGTAATTTTTTATGAATTTGTCGACGCGGACCAGCTAGCATGGATTATTAAGAAATATCAATAGTAACTAAACCTTTTATATTGATTTAAATTGATTAAGAAATCCAGAATCGTATATTTTGGGCCGAAAAAAGCAAGAAGTGCCCCTCCCCCAGTGTCCCTTATCAAAATGTTAGGTCAGAAAATAAACCGTGTTTACACGGTCAAGCCGCAGCACCCACCAAACAGAAATAATACAAGAAATTACGTTGATAATTGGAGTGGAAACTGTCGCTTTAAAGAGACATTCAAGGTATGTCTATGGAGTTTGTAGGCACCCAGATAGAAATCACCAACCATTTTGCTCTAGCTATTTTCAAAAGCATCGAACTCATGTTTTAGGCTTGATTTTTCCTCTAGGATCCTACTATATATAAAAAAATAGTTCCTGTGTGTGTGTGTGTGCATTTGCATACAACTTCCGTCACCGTGTCCGGAGGATATCTCAAGAGGGGAAAGGTCTTAACAAGGGAACCTCACGCGGGCAGGGTGGAATTTCGAAAAACGCTCGCGGCTACCCCTAGGTAATCGACCATTGCGATCACGATGCGCTTGTCAGATTTTTCTGAATGCACCTGTGGACATAGATACAGCACTTCCGGAAAATGATAATTTGCATGCGAAAAATTAGCATTGAGGGATGGTTTATTAGGCTCTCCCATCACTATGGAATCACCAGTTGAATGGCCGAGTGGTAAGCAACTCGCTTGTTAGGATACTGACGAGGGTTCGGACCCGCCCACGATTTTTTATTTTGCTTTTTGGCCAGAGATTTTTGCACATGTACAGAACATCGCCAAAATTGATGAAACCCCCCATACTTTACCCAGGATAATCCCTTGTTTTTTGAAATTTTTTTCGAAAAAATATAGTCACGACTTCGATGCGGACGGCCATGCATCCTTTGGCACGCCAGAGAACAAAAAATTTTTGGCTGTTTTGTAAGAATCCTTGTCTGATCGACGGCATTAGAAAATGCTAGAACGGCACCCCTGGCTCGTGCAAAATTCGACATCTAAAGATTTGGGTCTGATACATTAACTGGTCTGGTCTTGTGCAAAAATCTCTGGCCAAAAAGCAAAATAAAAAATCGTGGGCGGGTCCGAACCCTCGTCAGTATCCTAACAAGCGAGTTGCTTACCACTCGGCCATTCAACTGGTGATTCCATAGTGATGGGAGAGCCTAATAAACCATCCCTCGATGCTAATTTTTCGGATGCAAAGCATTATTTTCCGGAAGTGCTGTATCTCTGTCCACAGGTGCATTCAGAAAAATCTGACAAGCGCATCGTGATCGCAATGGTCGATTACCTAGGGGTAGCCGCGAGCGTTTTTAGAAATTCCACCCTGTCCGCGTGAGGTTCCCTTGTAAGCTACGTATGATACGTCATTAGGTGCGTAACGGCCCCGAGATGACTGCACGCATATCAGATTTTTCAAATTATGCTATTTTCAACATTAAAATTCAGTTTTTGTTGAAAAATCCGGCAGCCTTTTTTTTTTTAGGAAAAAATTAGCATGCGCCGGAAGTGGCGGGAGCCTATATATAACGCGAGAGAGTGCAATTTTTCATTTTTTCTCAACCGAATTCGAGAGACGTATGCAGAGTGAAAAAAACGGGGTTAGACGGGGCCAGGGTTGAAAAGTCGCGTAGCGGCTTTTCAACCCTGGTTAAAAATTAGAAAATCACTGTACCTCCGCGTGTGACGGCGATAGTATTGTAGTGTCCTCGATGCGACGGATCGACGAGGCGGCTGAAAAATGGGAATATATACGGTTTTGCATTACTCTGAGCTGGAGACTATATATAACAATACTAGGAGATATAAAAATTTATAGAAAAATGGAAATGGTTATTTTAAAGAATTTTTGAGCATAAGGCCTTCAAAAGCTCCCCGAAAACCTTATGCTCATTTCTCTGACCGAGGCCTGTAGCCCGCAATTAGTTGCCGGGGGAGTGGATGAGGCTGAGGTGGTGCTCAAAAAATTGGCATCTTGCCCCGAGGCGCCGTTAAGAAAGACATTCGCGCCTGGTGAGAGAGAGAGAGAGAGAGAGAGAGAGAGAGCGATAGAAAGAGAGAGACGTTCCTTTTTCGGGCATGCGTACAAAAAACACATAAAGACAGCGGCGGGGGCAGCAGGTCGGTCGTGGTTTTTGCATGAGAGCGCATTTTTTAGGGGAAATCGGGGGGTTGTGTGGGGGGAATGGCCTTGTAAGGAGGGGTAGAAGGAGGGGAAAATGAAGTGCAAAAGGTTCGAAAAAGGAAGAGGACGGTCAGAATGGGGGGGGGTAGGGGAGTTCTTTGTCTGTGCACGATTTGGTTGGTTTGGTGATTCTGATTTTGGTAGGAAAAATCTCCCGGAAAGGTGTTGAACATTTTAAAGGGGGTGTGACAGTTCGTTTTCTTGAAATAGACAATCCGCAAATTTAGAAAATCTAGCCTGACAAAGCAAGAGAAAACAGCAGTGATTCTTTGAGTTTTCCATCTTCTAAAATGTCACATGGCCTTTTTCGTAGTCTCGGAAAACACGAGCTAGCAGAAATTCCTTGGCGAGGATTCAGAACCGGTGTGAAAGAAATTTTGGCGAAAATACCGACAACCGGAATATAAACCACCAGAATCCCGACAAACGGATCCTCGACATAAAAATACCGACAGTAAATACCAAAATCGGGATTTCGACTGCCGGCATGATGGCGGCGGCCATTTTGGTTGGCGCAATTTTTTGTCGGTATTCTGAATGTCGGTATTTTGCGTTTTCCTCGTTCGAAACTTCTCGAGGCAAGGCAAGCTAGCAAATTTCCCTTGATCACGTAAATACAAAAATGTACATAATTTTTATTCTAGCTAGGAGCTTCAAACAAGTAAATATGCCTCCAGAATCTATTCAACACCCTAAAAACAGCCAGAAATATAGCCAAGCGATGACTCAGAGCCACACAGGGGACAATTGCGTGAAAAATTGTGGGGGGTGGCCCCTGATGCGGCATGGTTGAAAGTAAAAGGGGGAAGAAGCCCGGTGGCCCCCTGGCCGAATGTGTCTAATTTGTCTGGGCTCTCAAGACCACGATGTTGGCATCTGGACGACATTTTGTGGCGAGAGAGAGACTGGGATAGCGAGAGAGAGAGAGAGAGAGAGAGAGAGAGAGAGAGCGAGCGAACGAGAGAGATAGATAGGCTGAAAAAGCGATCCAGTAGGGGACAAGTGGGCCTCCAAGAGATGAAGCTTAATTATTAAGGGCGGAGAATTCGCTGAGAACTTCCTTGAAATTGGGCCCTTTAAACGAAGCGCGGCAGCTGAAAAAAGAGCTGTAAAGTAGGACAAGCTTTAAAAGCCAGCCTTCCGGATCAAGAGAACTTTCAAAGGCAGTGCGACAGGTTAAGCTTTTAAAAATCTCGCTTAAGGCTTAATCCAACCTTTAAAAAGTGAGATAGAAATGGCGAACATAATTTAGGCCACCCCCCAAAGCAGCAATAATATAAAGATAATCGTGCCATAACCCGTCGGGGGTACAGCTGGTTAATTAGGGCCCAGACTAGCGGCCCGGGCTAGATGGCCCCCCCCCTAGTGGGGTGTAAATTTTAGGGGCACTCGCCCGTTTTTCATCCCGTTTCGAGCCGTTCAAAAATTGGGTGTGCTATTGGGGGATGACGGCTGTTCTGGGCTAGCAAACGTGAAGCTGAAGCCTACGAGGAAAAATCGGGCTGAGATTTGCAGATTTTGGGGGAAGGGAAATAGCGAGAGAGAGAGAGCGAGAGAGGGAGAGAGTATGCATAAATTAGACTAAGCTCACGTTTGGGCTTATACTTCGGCTTCGTTTAGGCCTTAGTTTGAGCTTACGTTTAGGCTTCGTTTAAACTTCGGTTAAGCTTAATTTATGCTTAGGCTCAGGCTTAGGTCTAGGCTTAGGCTTAGGCTTATGCATATGCATATGCTTAGGCCTAGGTTAGGCTTAGGTTAGGCTTAGACGTAAGCTTGGGTTATATCTAGGCTTCCTTACAAAAACTACAGACCCAAAATGCCGTTTGTCATACTCAAAACGGGTAACGTGCCCCCGAGGACATTCCACAATGGTGCACCACTTTCCATTTCGCCCGCATTGGACAGCAGCCCTTGGGAGGGCGCATAATAGGATGCAGAAAATGCCCTTGCTCGGCGAGTTGGAGCCCCTCTTTTTCGAGGCATCTATAGGAATCATCAAGGATTTCCCTGGCTCCCCGACTTGCAGACAGGGTAATTGCCCCAAAATCTGGTGCCGTCCGGCCGGGCCGTTTTTGCGCCCGACATACACGCGCGCCCCTCTGCTCGGCTCCACAATTTTGGCCATTTAGCCGGGGGTTTTGGTCAGGGATTGAGAGAGAACGTCAGAGAGAGAAAGAGAGAGAGAGAGAGAGAGAGAGAGAGAGCGAGAGAGAGGGAGCGAGATGGTGGCTTTGTATTCGAAAAAAACGGGAAAAATTGTACCGGTCGCCTCCGCAATTTGCCTACGAATTTGGGGGAATTCTGAGTTTTGTTCTAGGACGACAAAAGAATAAATAACAACGTATTAAAGGGACGACGCAGGCAGAAATGAGCTGCTTTTTTATAGTAGCGTAGTGCACTTGCTAATTTTTTTGAAAATT